TTCTTAAGTATTCAATTTACATATCTATTAAAATGCACCAGGAAATTAAGACTGCTTTTCTAATCAAGTGTTTAACATTAAGAGAAAGGAAGGGAGGGGAAGCCATTTACTATACTTGATTTTGAGAAAAGTTTCTATGTTCTGTGTGTCTCACCTTGGGACATCAAAGATGGTAATTTTAAGAGTGGTGATGAATGTGCATGTATGGACATAGAGTCCACATCACATAATCATCAAAATTGTGTGTTCTTTTGAATTTTCCTCAGATATGGAACACTGTAGATTTGCAAAATTTTGCTTTAGAAAGTTAGATGTGCTGCAACTGTTTTGATGTGCATATCATCACTCTTAGGCAATGATGTTTTACTTCTGGAGTTTAAAGTTTGACTGGAAGTCAGCAGATGACCCTTAACATGTGGTGTGTTGGTTATGTTTGTGTGTTAACTTGGCTGGGCCTGGTTGAGTGGCTGGGCAGCTGGTGGTAGTTATTCTGGCAGTCAACTCCATGGTGGGATCTACCACAAGCAGCTGAGTAGCTGCTTTGGGTATGTGGTCCGCTTCCCATATATAAGCAGCAGCTTTGGGAATAGTCTCTGGCTTATGGTACCTTGAACCCTGCATGTAGCTGTGTCACTGTTCAGCAGCCTGCCATGCTCTGCCGACCTTGGGACTTACAATGGAGTTGAATTAATGGCCTGCCATGTGATTTGGTAATATTAGGACTATGCCTTTTTACTTGTCAACCTTGGGCTTGGCAGCCTCAGCAGCCAGCAGCTGTCTGAGTGAAGAAAAGCCTCTAGCTTTAGTGGACCAAGAACTGGAAGCAAAGCTGAAGCCCAAGGTTGAGGGGCTTTTACCCAGCCCCTAGAGCCTGGCTCTTTGAACTTGGGCTTAAAGCTCCAAACTGTAAGAGAATAAACTCCTGTTTGTTAAGGCCATTCCATTTGTGGTATATTCTTGTCAGAGCAGCACTAGGTAACAGGAGCACATGGATTTGAGTGAGATACAAGTGAGGAGCTCCTCACAGATTCTTTGGGACAGTTTTTCCTCTGATTCAAACTTAAAGTTGTTAGCCATGTCTCAATTCATTAAAAAAAAAAAAAAAAAAAGGAAAGTATCAATACATCTAAGTAAGATAAACAGTGCTTAGTGTACTCAGTTGTCAAATTGGCTGTATCACAATGTTTTAACCCATCCTCTTCATAGTAGTCTTCACACATATATATATTTATTTTACCAAACTTACTCCCAAATATAAGCTGATTTGACCTTAATTTAAGGAAATGCAACTCAGAGAGCCCCTATTGTTCTTTTGTTTCTAAATATTCTGAGTCCAGTTTCTTTGATAACCATCTTTCTGCCTCCACTTGAAGTTCCTGTTAGTTCTTGAGTTTCTTGTGGTTCATGGGGGTGGTAAACAAAGCTCTTGTTTTCTCCTGTTTGGCTTTCAACAGGCTTTGATCATGTAAAATGATAGTTCACATATCTTCAAGGATTACAAGTGCACGTTTGAACACATTTACCAATGTTGACTCACCAAAAACTCACTGTATTGAGCCAATGATTCTGACTCATACCAATCCCTATTGGGTTTCCAAGGCTGTAAATCTTTACAGAAGTAGAACACCCAATCTTCCTTCCTTCCACAGAGCAGCTGGTGGGTTATGAACTGGTTACCATCTGGTTAGCAGCCAAATACCTTAGCCACTGTACTACTGGAGCTCCTTTGTTAACTCAAAAAGCCAAAAACCAAACTCACTGCCATTGAGTCAGATCCGACTCATAGTGACCCCTCCTTGGGCTTCTGAGGTGGTATCTCTATGAAAGTAGATTGCCCAACTTTCCTTCTGAGGAGTGGCTGGTGGGTTCGAACCACCAGCCTTCTGGTTAGCAGTCAAATGTCTTAGGCATTATGCCACCAGAACTCCTATTAGTGGACAAAAAAGTCTTTAGTAGTTAACAGTAGACATGGCACATATATAAAAGATTTGATGTCCAGATGGTTACAAAGGGGATTTGCACAGACTGTTTTATGAGGAGATTCACATGGTTAATAAGACAGGATTTTATTTTTGTTAATATATTGTTAATATTTTGGTAATATTTTTATCATCCTATTTTAAATAAAATATATTTTTAGGTAGCTTTGTTTATTGTTTGGGTTTGTTTTATTCACCTGCATTTATAGCTTGTCCTTCTTTTGTCTATAATTAAGAGGTCTACTTTAGCAACATCTAGGTTACACATAAGATTCTATTTGCTAGAGCTGAATCAGAAAAGGCAGAGTTAAAAGAATTTCAGGGCTTACTTAAAACTATAGTAAAATTGAGGGGTGGGAGTGCATGGGAGGAAAGATCCGTGGAAGAGGTAACTATAGGGAAGAAGTGGGAAGAGAGCTGTTACATTGTGAGGAATTACAGCCAATGTCATGAGGCAAAATGGTTATGAATTGCTGTATAGAAAATGAATTTGTTCTGTAAACTTTCACCCAAATCACAATAAAAATAAAATAAAATAATATATTTGCTTCTGTCTGTCTATCAATAATGTGAACCCTAAAATATTTTAATTCTCCATGGGGTTAGTATTTGAATGCCATCAAACTGTCTCAAAACTCTGGCACTTTCCCAAGACACAATACTACCTACAGGCAAATGTTAAATAGTTACCTTTATGCTCCTGTGAAATCTTGTACATTTCACTGTTATAAAGATCATCACATTTTGTATATTTACTACTACACTGAACTCCTTGAGACATAAATCATATTTATTCATCTTTGGTGTATTTCTAATTCACAGTGCCTACAGCAAAGGTACTGAGTTAACTGAAAAAATTACAAAAGAATATGGAGAAATAAGTAGTGCCTAGAATGAGTGCTCTGTATTTGGGACATGATACTTTATTAGATCATAATGGGTGAAATAAAAATGTCTTTCATTGACTAAGGAGCTCTGGTAGCATAGTGGCTAAGGCACTTGACTGCTAACCAGAAGGCTGGTGGTTCAAACCCACCAGCCACTCCTTGGAAGGAAGGTTGGGCAATCTACTTCCGTAGTGATACTGCCTCGGAAACCCAAAGAGGGGTTGCTATGAGTCAGGTCCCACTCGACGGCACATAACAACAACAACAAAAGAATATCACTAAGTTAGAAATAACATTGTCAGTATTCAATTGCTTATAATCATTCCTGGTAGGAGCTATCTAACATAAACATACTGCTGACCACATGAAAATAGAAGGAGGAAGCATATACTTGAAACGGAAATGTATGGCTTACTAGAAAGTCCTAATTCACGCCCCAAAGCTAGGAACCAATTCATCAGGTAAGCATCTCACTGATTTAAAGGTACTCTGATGTGTGAGAAAAGATTGTAAGACTTTATATGGAAGAATAAAAGGTTTAAGAAAGAATGAAAATGTTTCTTTGTATGAGTGGAATATATGTTAGGAAACCAGAAGGTCTTTAGAAATAATGCAAGTTGTTCTGCTTTCATTGTGATTTTAAGCCTGTTTCACTCAGAAAGAGAAATCAAAATATTCAAGGGAGTCAGAAATCATAGATCAGACTGTTCCACTCGGGAACCTTTCGTGCTTCCTGTAATAAACATCCTTTTTTTTTTTTTTTCTCTCTGCCCACTATTGTTTCTTCTCTCTTTCTTAAAAGATATCCACTGCATGTACTTTGGGGATCACCCCTTTTCAATTCTAGAATATTTGGTATGTTGACCAGGCCTTGCCAATCACAGACTAGACCTGATGGGCAGAGAAGTTCATTGAGGACTGAGCACCGGACTAAAGCTCATCAGTTAGAATTCTCCCAGGACTTTTACTATAACTACTAGAAAACACACAAACTCTTCTGTGGTCAGAACAGAAGAAACATGTAAATCTGGACTCCCAGGGTCGTCTTTGCTGCCAATTTCGAAGCATCTGTCCAAAGATGAGCACAAAGGAGAGATGGACCTGAGAACTCTGAAGACGCACAGCCCGGAGAA